ATAAGGCATTTTCTTAATTGCAGTATGGCAGATCAGCAACTAAAAATTCTCACAATGTACTGTCCTTTATAGTGTCTTATACTTAAATGCATTTGGTAATGTGAATAGAGCCTAAGGCTGATTTTTTTTTTTTTTTTTTCAAAGTTCACCTTTCAGCAAACACTCACATACACTATATTTGGAAAAAAAAAAAAAAAGTTGCATTAGATTCTGAAACAACCTTGATAGCCTAATGGCCTTAATATTTCACTTTCTTTTATTCTGTCCTCTTGCGTTTACTGAAATGAGGTATTCACTAATAGTGTGACTACTGGATCATACATAGAAAGGTGCTTGTTGTCTTTCCTGTTAATGGTAATTTGGGAAGCAGATTTGAGAAGCAGTTCTTCAGAACTGTGTTGATTATTCAGTAATTTCTTCAGCTTTACAAATAAGAGTACAAAAGAGCTCCAATTCTAGGTGCTAGCCACCTTTGAATGAAAACATGCAAATCAACATACAAAAGCCAGTGCAGCATTCTGCTTTCCCCTGCTCTCATCCTTCCCCAAAGAAGTCACAAAACAGTTCACCCTTTCCAACACCAGATGCAATATATCTGTGTGGTGTTTAAGAAGAAGTCAAAAGAGTGGGAGTACGTAGCAAAAAAAAAATATTTAGAAGGTATAAGTGAAGAAGTACTACGTGAGGGGGAGGAATGGATCTGATCCCACTTGTTCAGGTTGCTGGCACTAGGACAGTTTTGAACCAAAGCATCGTGAAGCAATGAAAAGGACAATTACACATACAGAGGGTCCTCCCTGACCTACCATGACCCTGACCTACAATAACAGCAGTTTCATGGCATATCACTGCTTCTGTGACTGGAAAAGCCCATCTTTGATGCCTAGCCCTGTCTCAGGTTTTGCAACTGGCCAGGCAGGGTGAGAGCCAAGCCAGACCTCCTGCTCCCTGGGCAGAGCCACCATGGGTGTCTGTGGCAGCTTCACCCTCTCATAGAATCATAGAATCACAGAATTTTTGGGGTTGGAAAAGACCTTTAAGATCATTAAGCCAACCGTTAACCTAACCCTGCCATCTCACCACTAAACCATGTCCCTAATCTACCTGTCTTTTAAATACCTCCAGGGATGGGGACTTGACTACTGCTGTGGGCAGCCCGTTCCAATGCTTAACAACCCATCTCTTGAGGGCCTTCCTTTTGAAATGGAGACAGTTCTCCCTGCTCAACCTCTTGCTATACATGGATCTGCCACCTGCCCTGTATATGCTCAGGGCCTGTCTAAGAGAGTGGGGCCCACAGACACACAGAGCATCTTAGTTGGTATCAGGAGCATGCTTTTTTGAAGTGAATCTCCTGATTGTGGCCATTTGCTGTGCTGCATTTCATATCAAGGGTGAACTCGAAATACATGAATTAGTTTTCTTTTGGATGATGCCAAACAAGATGTGCTCAGAAACACCCCTGCAGTGCACCAGCACCCAGTGTGAGTTCAGTCTAGTGACCAGGTTAGAGATAGTCCAGAGTAAAATGTGCATGCTGTGGATGCCATGTCCTTAGCACCAATGCTTTTGCTGTACAGATCTTGTCCTATGGAGTTTGCTGTTTGCTAATGTAGATGTTAGGTGATGCAACTCTGCCCTCTCTCTTGACCATGACTGAGCTTGGCCCTTCAGTCTGAATTTAGGGGTGCACGAGGAAGTACCTGGGGTTTTAAGGTGCTTAATGAACTTCTATAGCAAAGGCTTTCTGGAACACTCATCTGTCAAAATCTCAGTCTTGTTTTTCCCTTTCAGAATAGATTTGCTGGATCTTTTAAATACACACACACACACACACACACACTCTTCCATACTAGAAAAATACTCTTCCCTCACTCACCAGCACTCATCTATTTAGTTTGGGGTTCAGGGTGATACCTACTGTTATGTGTATGGAATGGCTGTGGTCTCATCTCTGTTAAAGCTTTAGTCACCACTAACCAGTTAAAGAATGGAGAAGAAAGATGTGAGAGTTTGCATTCCAGACTGAGCAGCTGCCAGAAACTTCTTCTCTTGTTATGAAAGACTTAAGTTCATTGCCTCAATTTATCTCAGCGCAGAAGTACACAGAGAGTGGTGGTTCTTCAGGTAGCGAGAATTCATATCCTATTTCATAGATCATAATCTGCAGCTTTGAGTATTTGAGAGAAAAAGGTAACTGTATGTATATTTTGGATATTTGAAAGCATGAGATGCTCACAGCAAGCTGTTTCACTTAACAGGCACTTTTTTCCTAAATCATAAGCAGTTCCTGGTTTGCGAACTGTGTGATCAATAACCATAAACATTTTCAAGTTCTAAATCAGAATTGTATCCAATCTCGTTTGGAAATACAAGCCATATAGCATCCTTTCTCTTCTCTGTCTGCATGATCAACATTCTTAGGGTGAAATTCATCTCAGTTAACATTAGGGATATAAAATGTAGGTGTCTACATCAGGACTAATTATCATCAACTCTTTTTCTAGTCAGTGCAGAAAAATATGCACTTTCAGGGCACAAGCTGTCTAATTAATTTTAGACATGTGCTTTAGGATAAGATGAATCATTTCCTCAAAGTGCCTGCTCTTTCCACTGACAATAAAAGAAGTTAAGACAACTAGATGATACATAAATGCGTACCTTTATCACTCACCCTAAGAGACAAGTTTTGAGAGAATACACTGAAAAAGTCAAATGCTTTTTTCAAAAATGCTGTGTATTGTTCACATTAAATCCAGGAATTCTGCAGTCATTTCTACATGCATTTGCTAGGAGCAAATCTGGTTAATCGTTCGCAGTATTTACGTATTTTGTCTCTGACAACTATGGCGATGTACCTAACGCATCTCAACAGTCACAGTTTGATCACGAGCTTGCTTTATTTGACTGATATGTTGCAGTGTTCATCACAATTTGTGTTATGAAACCCAACCAGGGAACAGATCACTAAGGGTGTTAATTGCCAAAGCTACCTTAGCTTCCAAGAGCTTGAAGGGAGCTGCAGTGATTTGCCCAAGCTGACCATCTGGTTATCATGTCATGTACACCTTGATTCATGTTGGCCCACTTACTTTCAAACTGTGATACAGTAGTTATTTAACAAATGTGAGTTTTGTATCTGTATCAATTTCCGTATAATGGGGAGGCAAACATTTTTCCATTACTGTGTATTGCTGAAGGAGTACAGATTTAAAAGCATTATTAGTGTCAGGGATCACATACCTGTTGAAGATATTGAACTGGGGGGTCTGAACCTTTTGTATTCAGTGCAAAAAAAAATGGCTTGACAGCACCCTTCTCACATGTATTGAGTTGGTGATAAGAAAAAGTGTGATTTCTCCCTCTGCTGCCCCCCAATAAAATGGTAGCAATGGTATTTAATCAGTGATCCTAATGGGAGTTTGACTGAGCCCAAAATAAGGTGACAATCTGGTCATGGCTTGGGGGTGGGCGGTGTCTTCTGGGGGATTTTTTAGCTTATGTTTTGCTTTTTAAATACGATCGTTTTAGCTACAGACTATAAATACAAAATAGAGGTTGGGAAACAAGAAGAATGAAAGGATAACAGACAAATTGCTTATTCACTTTATTACTTTAAAATAATGAACATAAAACTGTCCTGGCAAAATGCTTATGCCACATCCCTTTGATTTTCCCTTCCACTCTTCTGTAGAAGCAAATCAACTTACTGGAACAACAGAGCCAGGAATCAAGCATTTCCAAGTGAAAATCCAGATTTAGATCCTGGATCCTTGGGTGTCATTGGCCAAATTATTTAGTCCTTCAGCAACTTGTCTCTCATCTCCAAAATGTGACAATAATTACTTTTTTGCTGCACTGGGAAAAGGGGCTGCAAGGCTTAGTGAATGTTTGTTCTGTCTTTAACCTGAGGTGCAATCCATGAAGGCAAGAAGTTGTCAGCTCTTCAAGACAGGGCCTAGAGCTAAGATTTCAAAGCAGAAAAGGAGACAGTTCTATAAGTTTTCCATTACATATAGAGCAACCTGCACTGCATGGAAAACTTTTGCCTGTATCTCATTTATTCATTTGGAAAGAAGCTAAAATGATTTGTGGAGATGACTACACTAGAAGAAAAAAACTCGCAGATTTGGGCTGTGAGCAGACTTTTTCTAAATGAGTGGTAAACTATCAAAAATAAGAGTTAACAGGACTTTTTACTGGTATTAAATGCAAGCTGCATGTTGCAGGTATTACTGTTAGTTTCTTTAGTAAAAACAGCTTTAATCTGTAATGAAACTATTAACACCATTTTCTACCTGCAAAATATTGTCTCTTCATTTTTTTATTTTCAGCACATTAAATAGGAAGCATTCCATCATAGGAATGGCAATAATATTGATACAAGGAGTGGGTTGACATAGTTTTTGTCTAAACCCTGTTGTTGGTCTTGCCATATCAGGACTGTAGAAGCTGCACATCATGGTTGTTCCCTTTTTGCATCACTTGATGTTATATTTTGTTTAAACACTCAAGGGCATTCCCAAAGCCTTTAGCATATTACTAAGAGCTGAATAACACTTGTAGTACTTGACCACCTCAAGGGCAAACAGCTTTGATCCCAAAAGATGGAAACCCAGTTTGATTCATAAATCCTGCACTTACTTAAAATGAAAAAGTGCATCAGTGGGTAGGCTTTTTAGCTAATGTGTGACCTCCTCCTTCTGAATTTGTATCCCATAGATAATTGCTCTATTTAATAAAATAGGATACTACAATAACATTTTCAATCATACAGAAGACACTGAGATTGCCAGTTCATTACTTTGCGCACTTCATTTTAACTTCTTTCCATGATTAATCACCTGGAAAGTTATAGGTACCTTATTGGACAAAGACTCTCATCGTTATATTGCTGATGTCATATATTTCAGAATTTATATCTATCTGGCTATGAAAACACTTTGCTAGAGAAAACAATATGACATTGGGTTTTCTTCTTTCCTATTTCTCTCCCACAGATTGTGAGCGTGGGAAAGCATGTTAAAGGATACCATTATATTGTTGCCAACCTGGTAAGATACTTTTCTAGAATTATACCCCTGCTCGGTAAGTGAAAAACTCAGTTTTGCTTTGAACTTATAGCACTTCACACAACATTTTTCCATTTGTCACTAATATTTCATTGTGCATAATGCATTCTTTATGGTGCGTAAAAGAACTTGATTTTGTTGTTATAGCCATCTAGATAAGAAGGACACAATGTTACCCTCTTAAATTTTATCAAAATAAATGTAGCATAAAGGACCGCTAAGTGTTATCTTGTGGCTGAATGAGAATTTACAGAACTACACTATGATTTTTGACTCATCTTTTTAATATTACTAACATAACAATCTTGAGGTAATTTTCCTATATTCTCAAGGGAACATTCATTTTGCTATAAGATCAGCTATTTCCAGTCAAATTACTAGTGCAGTATTTTCACTCTTAAGTCTAAACTGCACATTCACACAGATAATGTTCAGAAGAGGGCAAAGAAAGAGTAAATGCAATAATTTATTATCAAATTTAACCCATTCTTTAAGCTGAAATACCTGCCTGGCCAAGCACAGTGAATGTAGGACAGAGTCTAATGTATGTTTTAAATTGTTTTCTTTTTACTCTCCCTCGAGGAATTTCAGTTGACATGAAATATTTTATTGTGCTTTGCTGTACTTGTACCTTAACTTAAGATCACATCAGATTATTTTTAAGACCTCAGGCGTTTTAAATGAGACATGTCTATTCTCTTAGGTCTTACAAATTAGATTTTCGGCATTACAAATTTATAGTTCCCCAAGTAACTTTTCCCATGTGAAGTAGTTGCTGTAAACAAGGAGCCAGATGTTGCAGTGAACTGCTAGTGGAATATATAGTGGAGACAGGCACATCTACTCATCTACTCCAGCAGGGGCACATGTTGCTATCTACTGCCTGTTCAATAATGTGGGTAACATGACTTCCTGATGCGTCACCTTTTCTATTTACTGTCAGTATCCTTTAAGACATGAAGCAAATCTCTGTCCTTAACAGGTTTTTCTGCTGGGGTATTGGGTCAGTACCCCACACTTTTTTTTCCTCAATCTTTCTTTTTTAAGTTAAGTGTGATAATACACCTCTGTTGGCACTGATAAATGCCAACCAGAGGAACTTAAGACAACAAAAATAAGATACCTGTGAGCTAGCATTAAACACAGCAGCTATGAAAGGAGCAGAAAGATTCATGCTTGCTTCTTAGCTTGCTTTAGCAGTTTGCATTATGCAGTTTCTTGAAGTTCAGTTATGTCTCTAAAGGCAAATTTTTCTAAAGAGTTTGTCCTTCTACGTGCTGAACAGATTAGCCTGAGAAACTAATAAGTCAGGAATTACATGTGCTGTGTCTTTTTCTTCCAATGTTGAGGGTCCCTCTAGGCTTTAAATATATAGCAGACCTGAGAGCTACCACGATCACATTTCACAAAAGTGTGATTCTGATGTTATATTTTCCTTGCACAAACAATGAGATCCTCATGCGCTGTCTGTGCCTCCTAATGCCTGTTATATTATCTCTTTATCTCAGACACCTTCAGCCTAAACAATGAATCTGGAATAAATTTGTTTACACAATAGTGTTGTTCATTTTGCAAATATGCAAAGAAACAGGGATATATCGGTTAAAGCACTAGTACAGTGCTCATTCAAAACTGCCAACTTTGATGGAAATTGGACTAAGGCGTTAATATTCTGCAGGCACTTTTCAGTTGATTCACCAAAGACATTTCTTCAAAAACTGTCTGCCATCCCCAGCAATGTGTTGCTTAGCTGTCAAGACCACCCTAGCAATAATGTGGGAAATTTATTTCTTGGTTTTGTTTCATTCTTAATTACACAAATGGAAATTATGAACAAGGTTCAACATTATTCTCTGGTTTGAAGTCTTGGCTTCTGATGGAAACCTGCTGCTGTACATTCTTTATGCTGCCTTGCTGACCTAGAACAGACTGGACCCACAGTGGTGTATGAGGACAAACAAAATCATAAATTGATTTTCTAGGGATTCAAAGATATTTCTTTGGAAAGATTTATGCATGGAGGAGCCAATGTGACTGGATTTCAGCTAGTAGATTTCAGTACCCCGATGGTAACTAAGCTGATGCAGCGCTGGAAGAAGCTGGACCAGAGAGAATACCCAGGATCTGAGACCCCACCAAAGGTACTGGTTGATCTGAAGCACTACCAAAGATATCACTCAAGTATTCTAATTTCTGATTAACATTCTTGAATACATGAATTAAGACCTTAATATTTAGGCAGAGGAGAAGGCAGTTTATCTTACTATTACTGGCAACTAATTATGCCTATCCTCATGATTGTATGATAGAAACACAAACTGCACATATTTCGCTAATGTACTTTAATGTCCTTTGTCACTTATTCTCCAAATTCACCCCTTTACTGACAGGAATTAAAGGTCAAATACTTAACTGACAACTTAATTTCAACCAATTTTACATGAATTAGTCTAATTATCTAGATTCACTTAGAGTGCAGAGCTTTCCTGACAGCAGCATTCTTCTGTACATGAGATATAACCACAACTGTGAATTTACTACCCTTAAATTTTCATTTGGAGTTTCCTCTGGAAATTCTATCCACCTCAAAACCTGGTATAGCAATTGCTTTCAGGAACAATCTTACAGTGAAATTACATCCCAGTGTTCCTCTAATCCCTCACAGATGGATAACAAAATATTTCTCTCACCTATAATTTTCTTGGCAGGCAAATCACAGCATAGCTATAAATATGACTTCATCAAAATAGTTCTCTTATTATATGTACTAATGCATATGAGACCTAGTTGAGACTGAGCTCCTTTGTGCTGGGCACTGTGCAAAGATAAGCAATCAGCCCTCCCTTGGCTGAGAGAGTGGCAGGTTGGCAAAGTGTAAAGAAAGTATCTACATGGATAATATGAAGCATAGCTATGCAATTTGCTGAATATTCAAGAAATTTATGTTCTGGAGGGGAAAGCAAACAAGGATACTGTGAGCTATGGGGTGTAGACATCCCCAAGTACTGGTGACAGGAACAATTTAGCCTATGGGACTCCTTGCCCCATGAACCAGATTGTGCTGCCTCCTTCTGAGAAGTCATCATGATTAATCAAAATTACATATAATTCACCTATGAATAACCAAAATTTAAGATTGTAAAAATAAACAATGTCCCAAACAGCTTATAAGATGCAAAGCAAAGGAAAGGGTGGAAATTGGACTTGAATAAGTGAATTCAAATTTTAGAAGTTACAAAGCATATCAGTAGCGGCCCTGGCATGTGAACAATGTCTCCTGGTGCAGTATGTCCATCAGAGGACCATACTGAGAAAATGCCCCTTTGTTCATGTGGCTCCAGGCTAACATCTGTTGAAGACTTGCTCTACACATTTCGTTTGACATGTTCTCAACCTAAAGCAGTTACTGTAGTTAGTGTAGAAACACATATGGTTCAGTGCCCTATGTCATTTAGAGAGCCAACATTGGTTTTCCAACAGGAAGAACATACCCTTGATCATTCTTAATTCCAATAGCCTGGATGTCTGCTCATTAGCCATGCACTTTTTCAGTTATATTTTTTGTGAGTTACTGTTTCTTTTCTTTTGAGTAAATTGGGTGGGTGACGTTATTCTCTAGGATATAAGACAATTGGGAAAAAAATTAAGACTTTAATATCTCCAGTTTAATTTGGTTTTTCTAATAATTCTTCAGAGGCAGATTTCTCGGAGCTACTGAAATGTACTCTTCTCAGTCTTGCGTTTGTTCCTCAGGAAAATTTGCTTTTGATTTTGAGGGGGTTTTTTCTAAATGAAGGTGTAGAAACTGCTGCATAATGAATCAAACTAGAAATATCTGAGACAGCTGATCTTTGTAAAGACATGCCAACTCTAAATCGGTGTGTTTGTCCATCTATTTAGTATACATCTGCATTAACATATGATGGAGTACTTGTGATGGCTGAAACTTTCCGTAATCTGAGAAGACAAAAAATTGATATTTCAAGGAGAGGAAATGCTGGTGATTGTCTTGCTAACCCTGCAGCCCCATGGGGTCAAGGAATTGATATGGAGAGGACATTAAAACAGGTAAGGCTAGGCTTTATTCTAGTGATCTTTCTGAATATTGGATACTGTTAGTACACCATAGGAATTGGAAGATATTATACACAATTCTAGTAATGGAAGAAAATAAATTTATTTTTTCAGTTGCCATTTGGAAACAGCTGGGGCTGTTCTGGTTGTTCTGTTTTATAACTTGGAATGCAGGCAGAAGGGAGGGAACTGGTGCTATTTGAAACAACTATTAGTTCTGTTAAGATAGTTGGGACTTCCTCCACTGTACAGGTGAGCTCATCTGTTGCTTTTGCATATAAACTGGGTGTACAGGTATTGTCATTTAAGGAAAAAGGTATAGCTACATCATATAACCTTTCAAATATGTTTCTGTCATCTTGAATAAAAGTAGATTTCTCCCAGGGAATTCATATAGGTAGTATTTTTTTCTTTAAAAAGAAATAACCCAGAGCTATTGTTCTCTGATGTCAGGATTTTGAATTCCTGATGAATATGGATGCCTAGAAAGTTCCAGATCTCTGTCAAGATGATTTAGCCTTTCCTTTGAATGGGACAGTAAGAAAATAAAAATCCTGCAGTAGAATTTAAATCATTGCAAATGAGCAGGCTCCACTCAGGAGAAACTGCTGAGGAGAAGTGACTGCTGACAGAGCTGTCAGCTCTGTGCCTGGAAGCCAAGGTTTCAGTCCTGGAGAAAAATCAGCAGAGATAGAAATGGACAGAGGGAAGGAGTAAGTGGTTTAAATCCACATCCTGGGTCTCAGGGACAGAAATAAAGCATTTTGTATGCTTCACATACTCCATGCAGATGCACAGATCTGTAACAATTGTGAGAAGCATGAAGTCAGGCTTCTGTGTTAGGGCAGATAGCATGAACCTTTGAGTCTGGCCAAAGAGGTTTGCATGGCCAGGTCCTGGCATAATCAAAGCCAGCAACAATATGGCCATGGCTTCTTTGGGATGAGGGCCACAGTCTGAGTATCCTTTGGTGAGGCAGTACAGGACTGAAAGGAAAAAAAAAAAAAAAGAGTTATGGTTTCAGCTCAGACACGGGTCGTGGAAAACTGCCACAGCCAATCTTATGGCTTTACATCTGTCCTTCTCCACTCTGAGGCTTTGAAAACACTCTTTTCAGGCCTTACGCATGTCACCAATCTTCTGGGATAGCAAATTGCTTTGCTGGGGTCAAGGTTGTTGTCAAGTTTACCTTGATGAGCAATATATATTCCATTTATACATTTAATCCACCAGAGTGTGAGCTAAAAAGATATATGAGCTCAGGCCGAACATCCTTTAGGTTTATTTCATGTGATCCAAAATATTCTGCATCAGTGATGAGAACGGTAAAAAATGTACTTCTCTTTAGGACCTGCAGCTGGAAAGTGTTGAGCTGCACAGCATGAAAGAAGAGAAGGTCCATTATGTGTCTTTGCTAGCACTTAGATACTGGCATATCTAAGCCTATTTTGAGCATGGTTTGACATGAAGAAGGAATACAAAGGAAAAGTAGCCAACTTTCTTGCTTTATAGTGCCTGTCTATTCTAGAGTAGTGTTGTTATGGTAATCTAAGGATGTAGCCAGGATAACTTACATTGCATTGCGATATTTGGAATAAAGAATGTAAGGCTGGATCTTCATGACACTTTTTCGTCCATTTGTAGGTTCGAATACAAGGATTGACAGGAAATGTTCAGTTTGACCACTATGGTCGCAGAGTGAACTACACCATGGATGTCTTTGAGCTGAAGAACACAGGCCCTCGGAAGGTACATGCTGACAATATTTACTATCCTGATATCATATAAATTAGTTATGTATGATGAAAAGATTACGCAAACTTAGATTAAACTGGACCACTGTGTGGTTTAAAAAAAGATAATATATTGAATACATGGATAATATTTCTGGTGGAAGCAGATTTAAGCTGCATTTTCTACTAGATACTATTATCCAGTGCAACAAATCAGAGAACACAAAAACAAGTGTGCGTCTTGGAGAGGTGGGATGTCAGTCAGTCAAGCATACTAATGAAAACCAGCTGCATGGCATGTTGCTAGGCTGCTGGGTGATGGAAAATGGTCAGAACTCTGAATAGTGAATATTTTTTGTGTCTTATCCAAAGATTTCTATCTTGCAGATTACTGGCATTTTTAGGTGGGGTCATTTGTACCTTTTGTGTAAACATGAATCATAAGCTGTAACTAACACAGGGCGTTTAAGGGGGAAAGGAGAGGAGAGAGGAGGAAGAGAGAGAATTACCTGAATACTTATGTTTTCTGAAATTAATTGCAGTATCTAATCCTGTGTGCTTGATTGATTGCTTGTAAGCAACTTAGGCAAACACATTAACATATGTCTAAGCAGATCCTCCATGTCTGTGTGTATATAGCTTATCACTGAGCCCAATCACTTCGAAAAGATAAGCCTGGGTACTTTGTTAACCCTTTCTCTTCTGTGCTAAAATTTGTCCATTTTTCACAGTATAAAACAAATAAAGGGCAGAAAATGCACTCAGGCTCAGGGATTTTATTTCTTTTGATGGCACTGTTGTCTGTTTTGTTTGCAAGGTCATCAGAACAAGAAAAATTAAGAAGCTGATGGTGAATAGGAGAATCATGGCAGCTTGAGTAGGGCCAAGGCAATCGGAGTTGAATTAAACAATCCTCTGCTGTTGGGCCAGAGGTGGCAAGCCCAGTAAACAGTACCCCAGGTGAACTGGTTATCCCCAAAGACAGTTACGTGCCATGGTGATGAGGAGGCAGAGTCTTAAACTACAGACCCAGAGCAGAATTACACATTGGGATGAACAAACTGCCAGTATATCGCAGTATAGAGCTGTAGACCAAAGAAAAGCATGTATGAGGAGTACTGGTGCAGTTGCCTTTTGAAAGTATGACAGATGACTGAAGAATAAATTGGGAAAGGTGAGTCTGTCATCCTTCCCTCTTGGGAAGCCCAGTGTCTCCTGCCCGACAATGTATCCAACCTTGCTGCCACTCCTGCTCCCTTCCTGGCTGTGCGCTGCGCTGTCGGCCGCCCGAAGGATGTACAGGCACCTGGGGTGCATCCATGGCAAGTGGTGAAATAATGACCTTTCCATCCCCACTTCCCAGTTGTACAGGGGGGAAAGGCAAGATGGAGAAGATATGGTTAATTAGATCACAACTTCAGGAACTCATTAGGGAATTTTCGTGGCAGCAAACTGTAGAAAGTGGCCTATTGTTCCAGTTTCAACATTTGTCACGTGTTTTGGGAGAGGTGGCTGGCTGGCACCCCTGCAGAGATGTCCTCACCCTCTCTTCTTGCCTGCAATTTGAGGGGGAGGGTGGCTGCAAAAAGAGGAGCTATGCTCTTCTAGAGTCCCAAGGTGCTTTTCTTACCTTTTCATGCATGCCTCTCTGCCACTCTTAAGCCATTACCTGTCTTTGATATAACAAGCCATATCAGCTTTGACAGGTCTGGCTACTCACAAGGGTTTATTTCTCATGTATTACACGGTATTTTATATGTGATCATTGGACCAATTCTGTGCTCCAGCCTGACAAAACCTATATAATACATAAGAAATGGCTATACTTAATTGAACTAAGAGACCTTCACTTTTAATGTCTTCTTTTCATGTCCTACATGGCATGACTTATGAGTCACACAGCAATATCTTTTCAGGCCTAGCTTTTCCAGTCAGAGTAACGCATGCCTCTAATCTTTAGAAATGTGATTTTTGTTGCCTACAGCTTTAAGGATGTGAACAGAGCATCACAAAATGGCACAGCTAGACAGAGAAGACTTCCATATAGTTTTTAAAATGGGAAACAATAGCCAGTGTTCATATGAGTTTCATGAATGCAGCATTTCTTCCTTGCTTCTTGTCTGCAGAACAATAACAAAACCTGCTGTTAAGGGGAAAAGGGGTGAGGAGAAGGATCACAGAGATGTAGTGGGATGACTCCTGTGACTGGATGGTTGCAGTGGAGGGATACAGGCCCTTTAGGAAGGACAGGCAGAGAGGGGGAGTTGCTCTTTACATGAGAGAGCAGCTGGAGAGCATGGAGCTCTGCTTGGGGATGGATGAGGAGCCAGCTGAATGTTTATGGGTCTGGATTAAAGGGAGGACAGGTCAAAGTGACATTATAGCAGGTGTCTGCTCTAGGCCACCTGACCAGGATGAGGCCCTCTACAGACAGGTAGGAGTAGCCTCATATTCACAGGCTCTGGTCATCATGGGGGACTTCAAGCACCCCAATATCTGCTGGTGGGACAACACAGCAGGCCATAAGCAATCAAGGAGGTTCCTGGAGTCCATTGACAGCAGCTTATTCCTCCAAGGGATAGAGGAGCCACTGAAGAAAGCTGGTCTGCCAGCTCCTACTTACCAACAAAGAGGGGCTTGTTGGGGATGTGAAGGTTAAAGGCAGCCTTGGCTGCAGTGAGCATGAGATGGTGGAGTTCAGGAGCCTAAGGGCAGGGAGGAGGGTGAAAAACAAGCTCACACTTGAGGAGAGCAGACTTCAGCCTCCTCAGAGATCTGCTTGGAAGATAAGGGGTAAGACCCTGGAGGGAAAAGAAGCCTAAGAGAGCTGCTTAATATTCAAGAATCACCTGCTCCAACCTGAAGAGTTCCATCCCAACGAGTAAGAAGTCAGGCAAAAATTCCAGGAGGGCTGCATGGATGAGCAAAGAGCTCCTAGCCAAACTCAAACACAAAAAGGAAGCATGCAGAGGGTGGAAGCAAGGATGGTAACCTGGGATGAATACAGAAACATTGTCTGAGCATCCAGTGATGAAGTCAGAAAAGCTGAAGCCCAAATGGAATTTAATCTGGCCAGGGATGCCCAGGGCAACAAGAAGGGCTTGTAGGAGACAAAGGGAGGACTAGGGAAAATGTAGGCCTTTCACTCGATGAGACAGAGGCCCTGAGTACACAGGACAAGGATAAGGTTGAGGTACTGAATGCCTTCTTTGGCTTAGTCTTTACTAGCAAAACCGGCCTTCAGGAATCCCAGGTCCCAGAGACATGTGAGAAAGGCTGGAGCAAGGAAGATGTACCCTTGGTGGAAGAGGATCAGATCAGGGAATACTTAAGTAAACTGGGCATACATAAGTGCATGGGCCCTTACAGAATGCATCCAGAAGTCCTGAAGGCACTCTCAATAATCTTTGGTTGATCATGGTGACTGGGAGAAGTGCCCAAAGACTGGAGGAAAGTAAATGTCACTCCTCTCTTCAAGAAGGGCAAGAAGGAGAACCCAAGGAATTACACCTTGATTCCTGGAAAGGTGGTGGAGCAGCTATTCTTGGAGACCATTTCGAGGCACATTCAGGACAAGAAAATCATCGAGTAATCAGCACTGCTGACTTTGCCAAGGAGAATTCATGCTTGATCAACTTGATAAACTTCTACAATGAAGTGAGTGGCCTGGTAGATGAGGGGAGAGCAATGGATATTGTGTACCTGGACTTCAGTAAGACCTTTGACAGTGTGTCCTGTAAGATCCTCCTAGAGAAGCTAGTGGTGTGTGGGCTGGATAAGCAGACAATGAGGTGGACTGAAACCTGGATGAATGGCCAGGCCCAGGGGCTGGTGAACAGTGATCTGAAGTCTAATTGGAGGCCAGTAACTAGTGGTCTAGCCCAGGGGTCAAACATGGGTCCAGTCCTGTTTAATGTCTTCATTAATGATCCAGATCTGGGGCAGAGTGTACCACCAGCAAGTTTGATGATGACACCAAACTGGGAGGAGTGGCTGAATGACGGGGTCCATGCTGCCATCTAGAGGGACCTCGACAGGCTGAAGAAGTGGGCCAACAGGAACCTCATGAAGTTCAACAGGGAGAATTGCCAAGTCCTGCACCTGGGAAGGAACAATCCCAGGAACCATCATATGCTGAGAGCCAGCCAGCTGTAAAACAGCTTGGCAGAAAAGGCACTGGGGATCCTGCTGGACACCAAGGAGAACATGAGCCAGTAATGGGCCCTTGCAGCAAAGAAGGCTAATGGTTTCCTGGACTGCATTAGACAAAGTATTGCCAGCAGGTTGAGGGAGGTGATCCTTCCCCTCTGCTAAGCACTGGTGAGGCCCCACATGGAGAGCTGTGTCCAGTTCTGGGCTCCTCAGTAAAAAAGAAACATGGACATGCTGGAGAGAGTCCAGCAAAGGGCCACAAATATGATTAAGGGACTGGAGCATCTCTTTTATGAGGAACAGCTGAGAGAGATGGGACTGTTCAGCCTGGAGAAGAGAAGGCTCAAGAGGGATCTTATCAATGTGTACAAATACCTGTAGGGAGGGTGCAAAGAAGATTGATCCAGGCTCTTTTCAGTGGTGCCCATGCACAGGACCAGAGGCAATGAGTACAAGCTGACACACAGGAGGTTCCCTCTGAAGATCAGGAAACAGTTTTTTACTGTGAGAGTGATCGAGCACTGCAACAGGTTGCCCAGAGAGGTTGTGGAGTCTCCATCCTTAATGGACAAGGGGAAGGCTGTGGTTTTAGTGTACCTGGACTTCAGTAAAGATTTGACACCATTTCCCACAGAATTCTGCTTGAGAAACTGGCTGCCCATGTGCTGGACAGGCATACTTTTCACTGGGCAAAAAACTGGCTGGATGGCCAGGTCCAAATGGGTGGTGGTGAATGGAGTTAAATCCAGTTGGCAGATGGTCACAAGTGGTGTTCACCAGGGCTCAGTGCTGGGGCCAGTTCTGTTTAACATCTTTATCAATGACATGGACAAGGGGAAGTTTGCAGATGACACTAACCTGGGTGGAAGTGTTGATCTCCTTGAGGGTAGGAGGGCTCTGCAGAGGGACCTGGACAGGCTGGTTCAATGGCCTGCAGCCAATGGTATGAGGTTCAACAAGGCCAAGTGCTGGGTCCTGCACTTGAGTCACAACAACTGCATGCAAAACTGCAGGCTTGGGGATGAGTGGCCGGAAAGCTGCTTGGCAGAGGAGGGATCTGGGGGCACTGGTTAGCAGCTGACTGAATATGAGCCAGCAGTGTGCCCAGGTGGCCAAGAAGGCCAATGGCATCCTGGCTTATATCAGAAATAATGTGACCAGCAGGACCAGGTGTCATCCTTCCCCTGTACCTGGCATTAGTGAGGCCACACCTTGAATGCTGTGTTCAGTTTTGGGCCCCTCACTACAAGAAAGATACTGAGGTGCTGGAGCATGTCCAGAGAAGGGCAATGAAGCTGGTGAGGGGTCTGGAGTGTAAGTCCTATGAGGAGTGGCTGAGGGAACTGGGGTTGTTTAGCCTGGAGAAGAGGAGGCTGAGGGGAGACCTGATCGCCCTCTGCAACTGCCTGACAGGAAGCTGTAGGGAGGTGGGGGTTGGTCTCTTCTGTCAAGTAACAAGCAATAGGATGAGAAGAAATTGCTTCAAGTTGTTCCAAGGGAGGTTTAGATTAGACATTAGGGAAACTTTCTTCATTGAAAGGGTTATCAGGCACTGGAACGGGCTACCCAGGGAAGTGGTCGAGTCCCTATCCCTGGAGGTATTTAAAAGTTGAGTAGACAAGGTGCTTAGAGACATGGTTTAGTAGTGGACAGGTACGGTTGGGCTCAATGATCTCTAAGGTCTTTTCCAACAAAGGATTCTATGATCCTTGGAGATAATCAAAAGCTATCCAGACACAGTCCTGGGTAACTGGCTCAGCAGAATTGGCCAAATGACCTCCAGTGGTCCTTTCCCACCTCAGTGATTCTGTGATTCTGTCATTCACCATTCATCATGTCACCAAGATTTCAAAACAGGAAAAAAAAAAGAGAAAAAAAGTAAACAAAGCATATACACATTAGCAAGACAGTCTAAGATTTGACTCCTAAATTCCAACTCGAGCATCTAACATGATAATTGATTATAAAAAATTCTGTTGCCCTTAGTGACTTGTGGGCTTCACCAGGAGCACTTCAGTGGTTGCTACAAGGTGCACAGTCCTTCAGAAATAACACCATTCAAATGCAAAAGCGTTGTGACAAATTTATTTTGAGGCAGATATTTTTCCAATATTATTTCCTAAAAGACAAATTCAGCCTCTGTATAAGTGGATGCAACTTATATGAAGTCCAATTGCAACCCAAATAGAATTGGATGTACTTCAATAGCTGAATTGAATCCTATCCTTTGATGATTTTTTTTCCTTACAAATTTGAGGTGATTATAGGAAAGCATATTGTCATTTAGTGCTCTCACAGTGACTGTGAATCTGTATACTTACACAAGTGTAATGATATTTCCTATATATTTATTCAGTAATCCAGTTCCAGAGTTACTTTAGCACAGGTTTGAGATGCACACATGCAAGCTCACACCCATCTACACAAGCTAAAACTCCTTTGAAAAAAGCCTGCCATTCATCAAAAACCTCCTTTGTCTGTGTCTGCATTTTCATATGGTACTTACTTTTATAACACAGTCATTCATTCGTTTTCTGCTTTCCTCCTGAACTTCCCAGCAGTGAGGAATTTCACAGTGAAAAACAATCATTCACTATTATAACGAACTTCCCAAACCACCAGGTTTTGATGTACATATTCGGCCTTTAGATGGTGACAGTTCTTGACAAGAACTTGACATTTTCAGTTATCAATTATATCTGTGACTCTATGGTTGGATGAAAAAGAATATTTGTTAGCAGTACATCCTACTGGGAGGAAAACCTCCCTCTCCACTATCTCAGCAATGCTGAAGCTTCCCGTTAGCTGCAGACACCTAAATCAAGGCTCCTGTGCTGTAATAGCAATTGCAAAGAGAAAAGGAACATTTCGACTAAGTATACCAGAAGTTGTGCGTGGGAAGCATTGGGGCTTGTTTGCTTCACTAATAGAAAAAAAAAATACTCATATTCAGTCATACTCACTCACTCATATTTAATTGCTTCATGTATTTGTGGTGAGTGTGTCTGCACACTGCTCTAGGGACTAATAAAATGACTTGCCTCTCCATAAATTTTTTTCAGAAAGGAAATTAATGAGATAGTAAATGTAAAAATAAAGAGGAAGGTTGGCTGTTTTAAAAAAATATAGGATTCTTTAATGCATATGAGACCAAGAACCAAAAGCATTCCCCTGTGATTCTAGACTCTCATGTCACACCACTGCATTGATCTGTACGTGATGTTTCTCCACATCATGGAGGCAGAGTCCTATGTGATGGTGAATTTTGGTCTGGGTTCTACAGTAATGTTAGAAATAATATTGGCTGCATACGTGCTCCGATCGTTCAGCCAGTTTCCATCATACTGAAGTCGTTTCATCCAAGGCACAGACTGTCCTTTGGCACTGACAGTTACGCTGAAGCTCCGTCTGAAGGTGCTTCTGAAAAGTGAGCTGTGCCAGCTTGAATTGCGTCTCTTTGATAGGAACCTTTTAAAATCACTGCCGCTGTCTGCACCTTCCCTGGGAAAAAAAGATCAATCTATTAATTCATTAGATTCTCAGCAACCTGGAGAGCCCCTTTAGGTGGGATTAGACCACTGTTTTACTGCCATGTTTGTGTTCATGTTGGCCATTTGACATGGAGCTGAGAGCTGGATCAGAGGAACAGGCACTGAGCCATTCCCAGAAACCTTGTTGGATGGTCCACAGACAACCATGATCTGGTTGCAGAAAAAAAATGGCAAGAAGGGGAAAAGGGAGGGTGTTTGCTCATGAGCCACAGGTTAGATGCAAGAGCAGCTTCAGTTAAGGGACCTGTGTCTGGCATGCTGAAAGGATGGCTGGGAAGGTGGAATTAGACACCTCCAACTAAAAGTGAAGCAAGGAACCACTGTCATGAACCACTTGACAATTCATAGACATCCACCTTGTACTGGGAACATTATGCACACAGGATTCGCAGGAAGACCTTTTCTACCTAACGTCACCCAGGGCAAGATGAAATGATTGGGAGGAACTCTAAATCCAGAAATACCACTCGTTGGTACAGATTCTAAACATGATGTCACCACATGGAGTGAGATGAGTGTGCTCTAAGATTCTGACTGGGCAGGATTTACAAAAGCAGTGAAGTATTTTAAGACTCATATCTTCTTCTGGCCATCCAAAGCCATAGTACATACATAACCTGTGGGGATTTTTTGGGGGGTATGTGGGGAGTTTTAAGCATTCATTGAGCAGCTCCCAAAAGCATCAATAAAAGTCTGAAGGGGGATCTCCTTTTCTGAGGCTGCCTTCGTCCCATCTGGTCTTACAGCAAGCACTGCATCCCTGGGGCCTCACAAGAAAGGATGTTGACTCATGTCTTGTGCCCAACAGCATCACTACCGAAGCACAGGGCACAGCTGCAGGCTGTACTGAATACCGGAGCGATGTCTGTATGTAAGGGAAGGTTTCTGATTGCAGGCATACTACTGTTAATTTTTTTGTTCTCCATGGGAATACAAGAATGAGTGATTCAAACCTGGCTCGAGAGCAGTTCATCACCAGCAATGAACAAAGGCACCTTAAGGCTGCTGTCGGAAAGGTTGTGGCAGCCTAAATACAGCCACGGAGAGGAAAACCTGATTTGTTCCACCTCCCTGTAGGCAGTTACCAGAGATAATTTTAGAATGAAATCACTCTCACCATGTTTTAGAGTGAGCGGGGAAAGCAAGCACTTTTCTAGGAGGGGGGCTTATCCTGCATGAGCTGAGTTACTATCTGGTGCTGCCTGGCTGTCCAGTGAGTGTAAAGAAAGCTTTAATAACAGGGCTTCTAACATAGGTACTAAAGGTCAGTGCCAGCAGTTAAGTGGAGTGAGCCTGGTGTAAGTCCCTGGGTTGGGGTCTCCTGGGAGGCCCATGATGGAGCAGGGAATTGAGATCTTCCACTGAATTGCGAAGCTGTCATCCAGATGTCTTTCACTCCTCCGTCTAAGACCAGAAAATCTGCAGGATTAGTGAAGGAAAATTTTCTTATGGACAGCAAAAATTCTTCTATTTTATTTATGCGCCAGGAAGGCTTCAAACTATTGAGAATGGGATTTAACTTGTGCCTCTGGTCAAGGTAAGTAGTTCAGATCATTCAGGAACAGCTGAGCGGCAGTGACACCAGGTCTGACGCCCTGCAGCAGTGGTGAAGATGGTATATCCAAAGTGTTAGATATGTACCACCCACCGTGCCCCTGTCTGTGAGCGTGACAGCACTTCCTTTGGTACAAAATTATCTTTGGATCACTCTGTTGTTCTTATAATCATTTATATTTGTAATTATACTGACTGCAGACTTTTCTACTGAAAATGAAACACATTCTGTTTTGCAGGTTGGTTACTGGAATGACATGGATAAACTAGTTTTGATTCAGCATGAACCTACACTTGGAAATGACACTTCAGCTATTGAGAATAGAACAGTCGTTGTCACTACAATTTTGGTAAGGTGTTTCTTTTTTTAATGCTTATACTGGTGTGTGACACAATCTCATTTCTAGTTATGGTCTAATTTAGTCTGCCAGTTCCTACGTTAGTGGGAGGGTGAGAGCCATATATCTTAATTATCTTGACTGTCATGTCTGTACAGAGGCTTTATGGTATGCATTCAATAAATCAGGTTTTTTAAATTGAGTTGTGGTAATTTTTTTCCTTTATTCAGTCTTTTCCATTTTTTACTAAAGTAAGTCTCAGAAATACAAGTGAACTCTTTCAGTCACTAATTGATAAATCTTCACTCACAAGAAACGGGAAGAAAAATCTGAAACCTCTAAATGACAGAACTGAACAGGGGTTATAAAATGAGGTGTTTGTCATGCCAGTGTCTTTTTTTGTTGATACATTATAAATTCAAAATTGGCATTAGCAAGAGCTAAAATTCTAAGTAGTATAGTTGAGTCAGCCTGTCAGAACTGGATTATTTACTTCTAATTGTGATTGAAAACATGAATTTAGTAGATGCATTTGAAGGTATTTCCTAATGTGTTTATTCAGCATTTCAATAAAATTTCCATTTTAATAAAATCAAAATAGATTTGGGGTTTGATTTTCCAGTGTTACTGGTGTTTTTAAAGAGTGGTTGCAAAGGAGAACACAGTTGCTTCATTCATTTACATTTTTAATACACAGTTTTTCAAAACCGTTTTTTCTTACAAATCTGTATTTTAAACAAAATATTTAACAATTTTCCCTCTGAAGTCAGACATGCCCTTTTAAGCTGATGTTTGTCAAAGCCAACTGGCAAAGGGTGACCTTTACCTGACTGCTTTTAAGATTTTACATCTCAGTTCACTGCCCTTTTCACCTGCTTCATTTGGACAAGACATTTTAACCCTTTAGAATAAGCTGTGTCTCAAATGGGAAGGAATATTCTGTATGCATTGTTAAGCAATAGTTTTTCTAATTCAATATAGAGTTGAAAATAATCCAAAGGAAAGTGTCAAGACATTTTCTTACTCAGAAATGTATTTAGTTACCAGATTTCCAGCAGTGTGTATCAGCATTTATACATTAAGTATGTCTTAACAAATCTCCTGTTGAGGATTGTCATTCCAGGATGCAAACCAACCAAACTACTATACAGGAATTCAGAATGTTAACTCCTAACCAAATGGTGTAACTTTTTATTTTATTTTATTTTTTTTGCATGGGACATTTAAAATATATGTATCTTTTTCCTAAAAAAAAAAAAAAAAATAGACTTGGTGATGGAAAAAAAATATACTTCAGTACAGTCCTCCTCTTTTCAGCCTCTGATGAAGAATCCTATTTTAAGAAATTGATCAAGGAAGAAAAGAGTCCCAAGATGCTGCGAACATTCCTAACTAAGGCTCAAGTATTAACCACCAGTCTAGTAGCATTGAGCTAATTTTTCCATATGGATTACTGTTCCTCTGACTGGATGACCAGGCACTGAACCACCAAGAAAAGTTCTGTGACTAATCTGAAATGTCTAGAACAGATGACGTTAACCTTCAACTTTGCCAAGCTGAGAAGAGAACGATGTGAATAACAAGCTTTCAGTCGAAATTTTCCTCTCATACCAATCCTGATATCTTTGACTGAAGCTACCATACATGAATACTGTAATTTCCATAAATAGCTTCAAGCTTAGGAGAAGCAAGTAAAAAATAATAATGAAAAGTAATATAAAAGGTTCCTGTTTGCCAGAAAGGAAAAAAAGGAAAACAAGAAAGCTTTTAAAATGTGTTATCTTGCCTGTCCTGTTTGCATTGAAGCATTTTGATGTGCATAATAAATGTTATCTTCAGAAGAACTTTTCCAGTCCCAGTATTGAAAGGACTGGTGGGATCATTTTCAAAACCAAAAAGCTGAATTAATATTCCAAAGCATGCCCTATGTTTATGCAGCATGTCATTTTGGGATAAATGCAATTATTTGAAAGCAGCACTGCTTCTTGACCAAAAGTGTCCCCTTTCCAGTGTTTTGAAATCACAGTGCAAGAGAAATATATCAGAATTTGGTTTGAATAAGAATATATGGTGAATTCTGCCTTATCATGCCCATCTCCCATGGACTCCACTGGGAGCTGCACACATGATGCTGAAGGCAGATTAGAGCCATGATTCTTAATATTGGCCTGCCAGGGCAATGTATTTAGCATTCACAAGCATATGTTCACACACATAAGGAAAAGATATATTTAACTAGAATAACTTTCAGAATCCTGTTATTTTGCTCTTCTCTGTATTATAGTCATGTTGCAAATGCCAGACAGAGACTTTCTGACCTCTTCATTGCCCTCTTCACATTGAAGGGAAGTTGAACGACTGTAGATGACGCATATAATTTTGGTTGCATGCATATTTTCCAACATTAAACTGAAAAGCTTCTGCAACCAGTGCTGTCAGGCTTTTCAGTCTTCAAAGACAGGTGTCACGGCAGCGTAAGAAAAGTTTACGAGTTTTCAGCATGGCTCGCTTTAATTTTTGCCTGATGCCAAATAGCACAAGTTGATTTGCCTGCTGTTTCTTCAGTTTTCATGTGTCTATGCTTTGCTGTAATGTGGCTGTATGGCTATTGCGTAAAAGGTGCATTATAACAAATTAGCTCGGCAATCAACGAACTTACTACAGTGTTTTCTACTTGGCAAAATGTTATGTTCATTTGTAACGTAGTGAGAGCATGTGGAATTTATTCTACAGTTTTGGTTTAGCGCGTAGGCACTCCACCTATCTCTGATCAGTCATGTGGTGAAGGAGCAGCCCAGAGAGAGGTGGCAGCAGGGGCAGCTGATGCTCTTGACTCTACCAGCTGCTGTGCAGCCCGGCTTTTTATAGTTCCTGGGAGAGCCCAGTGTCCTGCACCTCATGTGATGCACAGGAAGGGACAGATTTTCTACCTGTGTTCAGAAGTATTCCCTCTAGGGGGTGCTTGGGACCTCCAAGTGCATAATAGGCTTATTGTATGACTAGAGAAGGGACGCCATGTGCAGCCTTCCTCCAACACCAAGGTAAAGGCAGAGACTTAACCAGCTAGGAAGAATGGTCATCTCTAATTTAGCAAGTTGGGAAATACAGTGACCAGATGTTGAGGTAGAACATAGGAGAGTGGTCTTGGAAGCCTGCTCCAAACTCTCTAATCCATTGCATGATACAGCCAACTCTGTACCTACTCTGAGACTGCCAAACTTGAAAAATCATAAAAATCCTGTAGAACCAAATCTCGATATACAGTGAGCTGCATCCGCATCTTGGCTTCCAGCTCAGTACTTTAATGAGATTATCTTGCTGTGAAGATTAAGCTTCAATGGCAGGGTCCAATTTGAGAATGAGTCATGTAGATCTAAATGGCTTTACAAAGGGTATTGATTCAGTTGCCCACTTACAAGCACTCGGTGACATTTAAGATGCTCTAGGATATACTGCCTATGCCCGATTTCTTACACTGGCAGGATGACACTTGCCTGTTTTACTCCATATATGACCACTCCATGTGGATGTCTCAGCTAGTGTATTTTGTTTCAGGCATGTGGGATGAGTTGTGCCCCAAGTATGAAAGCTTTCATCAAAGTCCACAAAGATTTAGAAATTGATTCAGTGACCCGTGGGTGGACGGCTAGCACTGAGGATATCAGACCTATCTGTAAAGGGCCAGCACAAAGGACCTGCAGAACGGCACTTGGAGGTCAAGCAGGCTACCTTAGGGCATCTTAGATGACAGATACCTTCATTAGGTGACTGAGAACCACCCTCATTCTTTTGACTGATACAGTCTCGACGGAGTCTTACCTCAAAAATACTAACTATAACCTCCTTTCTCATAATAGAAAAATATTTTTTCATCAGAAATTTTATTAATTAAATTCTTTAGTAGACTGGAGAAAAAAGTAAAGTTTGTTGCATGACAATAATAAAGACTTCAAACCGAATCCTGAACACTTTATTCAGAAAAAAAACCCAAACCCACAAAAAATTTCCATTGACATGTACAAAAGTTTCTTTCAGAATAAAGTGTGATAATGTGTGCCACTCCTGTTCTATAAATGAGACATTTCCTTGCACAAATATTTGTCACTTTTACAAACTAATTTTACAATGTTTAAAGATTTTGAAATTAACTTTAGAATAGGAAAGCCAAACATAGATCCGTTTGGTATTTGGGTTAGTTACTTTCTCCAGCTTGCCTTATAGTATAAGTCATCACTTGTGAGCATTTTACTGTACACATGAATTTGTGGCAATGTGGTGGAATGATTTGTTTACATCTATAAAGGTAATTGTTGCAGACATCAACTTGTATTTACAAATGTTAAGTATTGTTATAAAATTGTGAATTATATAAGTAAAGCTTGCACCATTTCAAATATCTGTTCCGTGCTAGTCATTGATCATTTCAATGTGGACTTTTCCTTGATTCACTACCCATAGAATACTATTAAGCAGCTGAAATCCTGCAAATATTGCGGTGTTAGACTTCATTCAGCAGCAAGTTGAAGCTGTGTTACACATCAGTAGGTTAAGAGTTTATAGTTCAAAAATGTAGTGAATAAAAAAGGTGGTGGGGAAAAATAGTATTTTATTAGACAAAATGCTGTAACTGGAAATGGTGAAAAAGGATGCCTACCGTTTTCAGCTATTTCAGCTGTTCTAATAGAAGATATTATCTTTCCATAGATACCTTGCATCTCTTATATCTTTAGACTAGCAGGTTACGCTAACATTACTACTAATTTAGAAAATGCTATTGTAATAGATTATATAGAAAAAATAATCTTTTTCAGTGCCACAGATAGAAAAGCACATCAAGATATGTCTGAGTACATTCTATTGATCCATTCAGATATTTCATGAGTTTGCAGTGTGACCTTACAAGTTCATCTGCATAAGTTGCATGATAGCAAATCAGTAAAACTTGCCTTTCAGTGCCCTGATGTTATTATAATAATATGTGCACACCTCATTAGTTTGAAACACCCCCAAAGTCTGAAATGAACAGAATTTAAAACTAGTGCTACTATGTGATTTTTTTTTTTTGCAAACAATCTTTATCAGAAAGCCACATTCAGTCCCACCCCCCCACCCACCCCACCCCCCCAAATTCTACCTTGAAAATACATCTCATTATTTGGCAGGTAGTGTAGGCACAACAATTAAAGAAACTGTTATTTATTCTATGTAAAATAGGTAGGAGGGAAAGGACAACATAGCAAACAGAAGGTATTAGGTGTTCCCTTTATTTTTGATTGTATTGTTTCACACTGGCAGATCTCACTCAATTGCTCCTTCTTTTAAAGCAGTCACAGCAAGAGGTACTACCTCACTCTGTAAGAGAATTGCATTATAAGTGATGTTCCTTGCTGTATTTCGCTCTAAATCGGTAAGACCAGAGTGTGTAGAAAGAGAAGTGGATGAGGAGAGAACCAATGTGGTTCCTCCAAGTCACCCAACAGATCCCTGCCAGAACCCAGGTGTTCTGAGCCCTCACTTGGTGGTCCCTCCACTGGATCAGATTGCCGCTGCTTGCACCTACCAGGTGGCATTGGATCCCACTGCTTCTTTCCCTCTCAGCATTCCCTCACAGAACTCGTGGGGAGGAGGGCTGAAGTTTATTTAGCCTTTAACAGGAAAGATAAGGTGCCTGTCACCTTCCTTTGCTGTGCAGACACAGTTGAAATGTTTTTTTGTAGCAGCCCTGTCAGTGATGAGGGGCAGGCAGAAGCACAGTGTCTGGGTTTTGGGAGAAGGAGCAGGCTGACCTGGTCTCCTCTGTGCCTGTCTGCTTTGTGTCCCTCTCCAGAATTATTATTTCCTGGTGTGACTTTAATTGTATGCCTTTGGCTTGGGATTTATAAGGCTGAATCAGAAAAGCTAACAAGTCACTAACTCTGGTCTTTGAAAAACAAAATTGCTTTGAGGTGCAGCAAGCAAATGTAACTGAAGCTTGTAAGAGAAGTCCACAAATGCAGGATACTGGACAAGACTTGGTTGTATTTCTAGCTAGCAGTTGGCTAAGTCAAGGTCAGGAGCCACAGTATTTTTCACCTCTGTTTATTTTTAACCATTTATGTGAAATAACATGTAGAAAGACACAGATTTTGACTTTCCCATTCATGAGAACAAAGAGCCTACATAAGGGAGGAACATTTGATTCATGTGCTCAAAATACTTCATAAAATCCAGATCTACTACAAAGGGAAGGCAGGACCCCTTCTTCTTGCTCTTCTTTCTCCTTCCCTGTGGAAGACAAGTGGTTGAGATTAAGCTGATTTAGCTGGGGATTGGAATACAAGAAATGGTGCAGGCTGCTGGTAATACTCAGCAGTTTTCCTTTGATGAGACAAACTCTGTACGGGCAAAGGCATGGTAAAGGCATCACACTGCATCACTGTAGTAATTACAGTCTGTAGTTATTGCTTAACTCGATGGTTTTCCCAGTGCCCAGGCCACATGCATCAGGATGGTAACAACTTGTTTGGTGATTGCCCCAATATTAGAAGTTCTTGGCAATCCTTATCCATGCAGTGGTCTTATGACTATGTGCTCAAGAAATGCAACAATCTTCTGTTGTCAACCTGTAATTTTTCCAGGCATGTATACTTATGTATAGGTCGGGGAACCAGGTAGTAAGACAGAATTTGGCTTCATAAGTGGCCACTGTGGACACATTTCTATGCTGTAAGGTTCCTTAGCTGAAGTAATGGCCATAATGCATCAATGGCCTCCAACATGGAGTTACTGCTAAGGGATTGAGGCCCAAAGATTTTGCCCCTGTACTCAGCACTGGTGAGGCCACACCTCGAATACTGTGTCCAGTTTTGGGCTCCTCACTACAAGAAAGATGTTGTGTTGCTGGAACATCCAAAGCTGGTGAGGGGTCTGTAGCCCAAGTCTTACAAGGAGCAGCTGAGGGAACTGGGGTTGTTTAGTCTGAAGAAAAGGAGGCTGAGGGGAGACTTCATCACTCTCTACAACTGCCTGAAAGGAGGTTGTAGTGAGGTGGGTGTTGGTCTCTTCTCCCAAGTAACAAGTAACAAGGACGAGGGAAAACAGCCTCAAGCTGTGGCAGGGGAGGTTTAGATTGGATATTAGGAAAAATTTTTCCAATGAAAGGGTTGTCAAGCATTGGAACGGGCTGCCCAGGGAGGTGGTCAAGTCCCCATCCCTGGAGGTATTTAAAAGATGGGTAGATGTGGTGCTTAGGGACATGGTTTAGTGGTGGAATGGCAGGGTTAGGTCAATGGTTGGACTTGATCCTAAAGGTCTTTTCCAATCTAAACAATTCTATGACTCTATGATTCTAAGAAGGATGTGACGGGAGGAGAGGTGTTCTGGGAATACACCCAAGAGTGATACATTCCTACAGTCCTTAGGAACCTGACTCTGTCTGTAAGGAAACACCAGAGCTTCCTCATTCCCAAACTGGGTTGAATTTAATCTGGAACCTTTCTCTCACATTGCAGTAAATGAACTACACAACTTTCTCCACTAATATTACACAAAGCTCCATTCTGCCATTCTTATACAGAGGTGGGTCCTGGGCAGATTTACCACAGGGAGTAAACTTACATAAGTAAAGGGAACAGTGCCTCCCACGTGTAACCTGTCTCTTTTCTATTTCTCTGCCTTTTCACCTTATAACAGTAAATTAAAGATACTGTTCAGGCTTGCCTATCACGTTCTTCTCTTGGGTGGATCCAAACCCTGCTAATAGGAGCTACATATTGGTATCTGAAAGGAAAAATTTACCTGACACGCTGAAAAATACTGGAATTGGTTTATTCCGTCCCCCTATTGCTCATGTAATGCCACATACCCTCCATTGTTAAACACCTAATAGAGGTTACAAAATTTTTGTTGCTTAGAGCTGATGTTGATGTAGTTTCAATAAAGCAGACATTCTCAGACTACACATTTACCTTTCTTTTATTTTTTTACCAATTATCTATGTAGGAAAGAAGTGCATAGGGGAGAGTGCTACCAAGGCTAGTGTCAAAAAACCAACATTTGCCAGGGCCAGCACAGAAAAAACTTAAGTTGCCGGTATTTTGTGATGTAAATTCAAACAAAGGGTGACATTAGTGACAAGTATTTTATCTGGAACTGGCTATGAATATGAGTTATGTGAATTAATTTAAAATAACACCGGAAAGTATAGTTTTACATAATGATTGCTAAAGTCTGAGTCCACACAGAGCAAAAAAGAAAAATGTAATCTCGGTTTCCCAATGTTACCTTGGTTTCCCAATCACATAATGTTCACTATTGTAATACTATGGTTTACAGAGGGAATGTAAGACCCACTTTTTGAGTCAGGTTTTACTTGCTTTCAATGTCACTCGCCAACCAAAAATATTTCCATACTTCTTCTTCATGCAGCATGTAAAGTAAGTGTCAGCTTAATACCGTTCTTGTCCATGCATATTGCTTAGATTCATCCTAAAAGACCTTGCAGAATGTGCACTATTTATTCAAAGGAGAAGATATGTGTTTCCTTGGGAACGTATTTCTATGTTCTCACTAAAATGTATGTAGCCTCATAGTAACTGTGCATTCTAAACCCCCAAAAAGCAAGTCATTCAGGCTGTGCATCTGAAATTACGTAGACAGTAACCACACTACGTTAGAGGATATGCTTACTTACTGAAGTCAAAAGTGTAAATTATAACTTGCATTATCCCACAGTCATTTGCATTGTATAGGTTCAACCTCTATTCATGCTTTAAATTTAGCACACAGTCTCTCTTTTAAATCAAAGTAAAATTTACATGCATTCTTGGATAGTTTTTGTGTTTATAATTTGCAAGGTTGATAAATCTTGTTAAATGTATAAACCAAAGTACAGTGTAAATAGTATAACTTTCCAGAAGGATTTCTGTTATTACATTTTAATTTAAATGTGTTGATACTATCCATGAACTTTTGATAAAATGTGTGTTGTTCAGTCAGTAGATGACGTGTTACTTTTCAGAGAATATTCTGTATACTTCTCCTTTACAGTTCTACTTCTTTCATTATAGGAAGCCCCATATGTTATGTTCAAGAAAAACCATGATACGTTTGAAGGGAATGACAAGTTTGAAGGATACTGTGTAGATCTGGCGTCAGAAATTGCAAAACATATTGGTATCAAGTACAAAATTGCCATTGTTCCTGATGGAAAATATGGAGCAAGGGATCCAGAGACAAAAATCTGGAATGGGATGGTGGGAGAACTTGTTTATGGGGTAAGCATACCAATTTTTGAAGCAGGATTTAATTTATCATAGTATTAGTCATGAAATAGGAAGTATATGTGCATTTTATTTAACCTTGGGGTCACAGAAAAGAAACAGAGTTCTGTTTCAGATTTCTGTGCTTTCCTCTATTTTCAAGAGAAAATGAAATAGTTTCACACAAATTCTACTATTTATTCACCTAGTACCTTGTAACATTAGAACATCCATAGTTTGCACATCCCTTAAAAATTCATTAATGTTAGAAAGCTTCTGTTCCTGATACATTGTAAAACATAGTTAGGAAGAATATCACTCATTTATTCATTTTCATGGAATGGGGGACAGATCTTTTAAAAAAGATAGGACTCAGTCTAGTTTGAGAAATGGAGAATCCACCATCATATATTAAGCATATATAACTAACCACTACAGACAAGCACTCAATTAGGCAATTCAGAATTAAGACAGACTTTTAAGATGAACATCAATAATAAAATTTAAGAGAAACCTGGTAAGTTCAGCAACTAAGAGCATTATGCTATACAGTGATTTGGAGAAGGATTCTTCAGAACAGCATAACAGTTAACAATTCTGTTGACACATAAAGTAGTAATATTTAATGAAAGAAGTTCTAACAAACCCATAGAAATATTTGCAGTATCTGATGTTACCAAAAGCAGCAAAACTCAAAGCTGTGCTTGCTGATGACTGCAGTTGCTAATATCTGCACTGAGAATAGATCAGAATTCTTAGAGAAACTTTTCATTTCAGTGATGGAGTGAAAAAAAAAAATCCTAAAGCTATTCAGGTGAGAACACTTCTGCCAATGAACTCATAACATGCCTCAACCTCCCTATAAAAACCTACTGCATATGGGTTGGTCCATCCACTGCTGCAGTTCCCGCAATTCCAATGGCGGTTAAGGCCACGTGCAGCTTCTCTCACAGCTCCATTTCTGTTCCCTTCTGTCAGCTAAGTATAGCTGATAAATTTTGTCAAAGTCTTCTCCACTAGTGTCAGTTCAAGGGACTCCTCAACATGAAATAGGCTGTGTGCGTTAGGAGTGTGGGAAATGGTGCCCCAGAGTTTTGCTGATTTCCCCTCCACATGGGAATGGAAAAGTTATAGCAGCCTCAGAGAACCCTGTGTGTTCTTGGAAGTTCTCGGAGGAGCCAATCTCACTTGTGTCTTTAAAGAGTGGAAAAGCTGAATGATCACCAAGTTGCCATCTGTCTAGAAGACATGAGTTGATGGCAAGATAGTGACCTTAGCTCTCAAGTCAATCACCAGCAATTTAGGAAGAAAGCAATGACACCCTTGATTTCCAAATACAGGAATTGCTTGTTTATAGTAATTCGGTTGGACTCGATGATCTTAAAGGTCTTTTCCAACCAAAGCAATTCTATATTCCATATATGGAAGCAGCTCAACTCTCAGGATTTTAAAAGTCAAGGTTATTTCAGACTTACTTTAGCAAAATGGAGGCAACTCCTTGTCTGGCTTTCAATTGCAGTAGCCATTGCATGGCTGTCAATGGCTACGCAGTGTTTTACCCTAGTAGGTTCTTTAAAACATCCAAGAAATTTTGCATACTGTGAGAAATTGCCCTTGCCCAGATATCTTTAATAACAGGGTTTCAGTGGCCTATCATCTAGCTGAATAATACAGAGGAAACTTGAAATTACACTTCAGTTTTCAGTTGGTTTTATTTTTTTCCCTTTCATTTACCTTGAAAAATTTACCTCATCAAACCCAAACTGCCCTAGTGCCAGACTGAAATAGGAAGTGCCGTTAGGAAGCTCACACAGAGGTTCAGACCAGTACTGGAATGTGACCTGCTGCTCTTAACATAGCTGAAAGCAACAAAACTTGCAGGCATAAGCAACCTGTTGTGAATCACCTGCATGAAGAGGACATCCCAGAATACATGGCCAACACTTCATTTTTTGTAATGGAGAAGAATGAGCTGAAGGCTCTTTAAAGGTGTGATCGCCAAGTTTAAAAGCTCCTGGGCAACTGTCTGTTTAGGAGGGCTGCAGTCTGACTGTGATTCTGGAATTGAGCTCTGGGAAGGAGCCACAGCAAAGCTCTTGGAGCTCTTTTTTTACTGAAAGAACTAACAGAAGTCTGCTGTTGCCCAGTATATTTGCTGTGCTGTCTGAAGGTTCCCTTAGGATGTATCTATCCCAGTGTATCAGTGAGCACTGGAACTTGCTTGCCTAACTGTTAAATTGCAATGATGGTCCCTGCTATATTTATGGCCCACAGTTACTCTCCAAAACAATTTTGGAGTCCAGCTGGACACAAGCGTGGGGGAGAGACCATTCCCTATAAGCAGCTTGAATGCAGCCATCCTGGTTTAGAGGTTAAATAACTTCCGTGGTAGCAACACAGACCATCCTATGCCAGCTGGCCTGAAGGCCAACAGCTACTCCAAGCATGCACAATGTACTTTTACAGGTGCAGCTTTAAATGAAATCGTTCTTCCTGTTAACTTACAAAAGTTGATTGCTTAAGATTTCCATAGGGAATCCCTGAAGAGCATCCTCCCTGCAACTTCCTTGAGACCTTGCCAGATGATTTCCAGAACATCAGGTTCCCTGGCCTATTCCATATAGAAAAAGCAGAAAAATCAGTCACCCAGAGACTTCCCTGCAAAGCTGTGCTATAAGAGGATGTTCATCTTCCCTGGTAGATCCCCAGATCATAAACACAAGTACTCTGAGTGCTTGGCTATGCTTCAAGCAAGGCTTTCTGTATGCAGCCAGGATTGGGACAGAATTTGCAACTGAATTAGCAAGTTAACGAGACAGTCTATTTGGGAAACATTTTACAGCTTCTAATTCCCAGCCACATTAAAGGATTAACAGACAGTTTCGTGCTGGCCAGTGAGACTGACCCTTTTCTGTGCCACACAAAAGGCTCCCCTGCTCTCCTGCTCTTTCTGCCATACCATGCCCCAATGCCACTTAGCCATATTCGTGTTACTGAGAGCGGCCATGTGTGCCAATTTTTATCCTATGTTCCCTTAAGATCCATATGCACCATTGGTTGTTCTGGTATCTGGGCACCTTCAGATACTGCACAGAGCAGCTTGGTTGTCACCTAAACTTTGCAGTTGATTTTTACATCGTGACCCAGGGGAAACAGTCTATAAAGTGCTGTGCTGTACAGTTTTGCTGTGACTGTACAGAAGGTCACTGGGTGTGGTGTTTATTTTCCCATTTTGTTTTTAACACTCTATTAAAAACTACCAGAAATCTTGGTCCTTTGTCCCTGATCTGTCCAAATGCCTGAAGTTGTCCATGTGGGGCTCTATAGCCCTTGATATCAACCTCACAGAAGAAATGCAGTCTGGGGATGAAATACTGTTAAGCACATTTCACAGGTGTTTCCAAGTGCACGAACAGTCAGCCCCAATTAAATAACCATCCTCCTGACACAGAATGTCGTTCTTTCACTGCTCAATACAAAAGGTTACAACTCATTTCTGTTTAAAATCTGAGAAGCCATGAGCTTCTGAGTTGAAATCACTTTCCTGCATGATTTTTCTCAGATAGCTTTACCACCTTCATACAATTTGTACCAAGCATAGATTTTATTCACAAGGTTTTAATAATATATTCTGGAAAGGCAGAAGTTTCTTACCATCAGACTTAATCTTGTCCCGTTGTATCCAGAATCCATCTGTAGTTGGTAGTGGTGCAGCCTTGATTGAAATGCTGTTACAGATGCAGTTGTTTCAAGTGTGAAGTATCATTAGCCTTTGTCAAAACAGATTTCACTGGCAGCAAAATCATGAATTGTTTGCACCATTGTTATGTTGTTAATCATTTAAGTCCATAATTATATGGTGTACATTAACTGGCCAAAGCACAAATGCTGATGATTATAATGTACCACTATTGTCATTGTTCAGCTTTCAACAACGAAGAGTTTATGTAGGACTTGATGTGGCACACAGTAGTCTTACAAAAATAATAAATAATATGATCAGATTGGGGAGGCTGCACTTTTTCCAATTATTTGGCATCTGATTGTGACTTATCTGTGTGGTGTCCCTTTACATTCATTGGCACGAAATGGGTTTATCTGTATTATTTATCATCTGGCATTAGATCACTGTCATACTGAAATGGGATAAGTTCCTGTTTATCCTTTTTAACTCCATAAAGCAAGGTAGGCAGCTAGTTCTGATGTGGTTCAGGTTCTGCATGTACTCTGTGAGCATTTCAGTTTGGTAAGATTAATCTTATCCAGTGTTTCACATATAATATGCAGTGTGCTAATTAGGTCTTTAAAATCTTCACAATTCACACTAAAATGGTGCTGTCACTTTTCCACCTCACATCATAAAAACCGACAACCCTCAAAGATCCTTGTTTTAATCCCAGTAGCAATCTGCAGACACAAAAAATTGTTAACCAATACTTTTGAAGACCAATGACCAGGTCTGTCATTTACACTGTGTTAAGGAAGACACCACCATGTGACAAATACAGAGAAGATCAGCAGTAATAGATCACAGTTTCCCTGAGTCTTTCAGTTAATTCATTTCAAGGACTCCACATGAGGCGTTCACAGTAGCTGAAATCTTGGAGTATAAAACATATGGACTCTAAGGAAGGAAACCATCCTTCTAGAAAAAAGGAATTCATGCGTGAAATGAAATACAAAAACATGCAGCAAGGCCAGTAGACCAAACCATCCTACAATCCTTAGACTACAGAAACCAAACTTACTTTACAATTTTCAGGATATTTTAAAATGTATTTTAGACATGCTATTTTTCTTCATATAGTACCTGTCTTCATAAAATATCTGTTTCAGTCAGATTTCTGTAATCAGAAGACTTCAAGACGCCAATTTTTTTAAAATGCCTTTTATTACTAAATTTGCATTAAAATTCAGAGAATTAGCACTATTATCATAATGTATACCCAACACATTAGCACCAGAGACATTGTCTGATACACTTGCAAAATTACGATTTTAGTTGTCTTGTTTAGACTATATCTTTACATAAAATTATGATGTGTTTTCATTACAATTATTTCAGTATGACAGATATAGTCTGAAGATTAATATATAGCAATTTTAATAAAAAAATGTATTTTGGGGCCATTGCACTGAAATGAGTCAGTTCTTTTGAATAATTCAAAATTATACAGCTACCAAAATAGGTTTAAATTGTAACTACATGTTTTAAATTAAATTCCATAAAATATATATAGCTCAGTGTAACTTAGTGTATAAAATAACAAAAACATTATTTTCAATGCATTTATCTGTTCCAAAGTTGTGAGATAACAAAAAAGCCTACATTTCAATTTCTTTTTTTCATTATCACACGAGCTATTTATGTAACACTTGGATTAAACTATTTAAGCACATCCTTAATTTTCAGTGTGTTTTAATCTCATTGAAACTGATGGGATTTAAATATATCCTTGTATATTTTACGGAGTATGAATGTCCTTAAGAACATCCTAAAAGGCAAGCATGCTTAAATGCTTTGCTAAACTATGGGCTATGTACTATATCTGAAGATGCTACCCCATAAGATGGATTTGGGCCAACTAAGTATTTAGAAAATAAAACTATGACAGTTCTGTTATGGGGATTTATGAATAGCTCTTAATTGTGCCTGTGAAGATGACTGGGCCTGAGGTGGGGTAAAAACAGGAAGATTGTCTCCTATATTGAGGCCTGAAGCAGAAGGCAGGCTGTGAGTCCACCTTGCAGCCAGCACCAAGTGTTCTCAAAATATGCTCAGTTACCCTCCTTAGCCCATAAGCTACACAGAAGTCCAGGCTGACCACAGGGCACAGGCTCTGCTCTGTGAATCCACCTAGCTACAGCGTCACAATGACGAACAAGAAAAGGGTTTCAGCAGCTTCTCCATCTCTTCCCACAGATACATTCCCCTCCCACAGGTGCATCTTTTGTCCCAGTTCCTCTTACAATTCCCATCTTAAGCACTGCTTTAATGACAGCCTTGGTGTACAAGCCAAGGCAAGGCAAGGAGCAAGCCTTAATGTCCCTAATGACAGAAATGACCCGTTAGCACAGCTACGCTACCTTCATGCAGACATCATTGCTAGCAGCTGTAATCACCATCATCATGAGTAACAATTCATTCAAGATTGGCATCTTCATTCTTAAAATGTATTAGAGAAACATATTAAAAATTATTCCTGTCTCTAATGGGAATGGATTCAGCACACTTTTTATCCTTTTTGTGCATGATTTTGCACAGCTGTTTTCTGTATACTTGCCTTTTGGCACTGATTCATTCCTATTGAACTGTCTTTCCCCAAGACAACCCTGTGCAGTTTTGTGGCATCACGGCAATAGTTAATCACCTTTGCTGCTTCATGTTATTTGGAACTTCCTTGAGTCTATGGGCTGGCTTCCCTCTAAGAATGATTGTATCTTATGAAAATATGATGATAAATTACTGTTTCTGGGATCTTAAAAAACATCTCTATGCATTCAGTGACAATAGGATCATTCTCATTTTTCATTCTTCTTTCAGTTCCTTTAAAACTAAATATCTAAAACAATCTACCTACACTGCTGCCCACCTTTATAAGATTTAAGAGTCTTCTCCTTAGCAGGAAAATTAAGTATTTCTATAATTCTGTAAAGTAAAAACCTGCAGTATGTATGTTTTACTAAAAGCATATTGAATAAATATAGGCTGTGATAGAAAGAAACAGAAAGACGGTATAAAGAACATTTAAGCCACAGTGTCCTGATGTTAATGACATACCTTTGGAATTAGCTGCTTAGCTGAGTGCATAAGCCAACTCCAATTAATCTATACATCTATATTTCTTTTCTCTTTATAGAAAGCAGAGATTGCTGTTGCGCCTCTGACCATCACTTTGGTACGAGAAGAGGTCATTGATTTTTCTAAGCCTTTTATGAGTTTGGGGATATCCATTATGATCAAAAAGCCCCAGAAATCTAAACCAGGAGTGTTTTCCTTCTTGGACCCTTTGGCGTATGAGATCTGGATGTGCATAGTCTTTGCCTACATTGGTGTCAGTGTGGTCCTGTTCCTAGTTAGCAGGTTTAGCCCATATGAGTGGCACACAGAAGAACCAGAGGATGGGAAAGAAGGACCCAGTGACCAGCCTCCCAATGAGTTTGGCATATTCAACAGCCTCTGGTTTTCCCTGGGTGCCTTTATGCAACAAGGATGTGATATTTCCCCAAGGTTTGTGTCAAATCTTTTTACATTTGCGTTTTATCTTCCACACTGAAGCATAAAATCCTCCTTCATTTATTTTCCTGGCAGTGTTTTGAAGTTCATTCTTTAGGAAGCCTTTTCATTTTTTTTCTTTCTTAATAGCTATGATAAGGACAACAGAGAATCTGCTTTGAATTTCAGTCATTACTGTTATTTTACGTATGTCAATGTGCATAAACCACAAACAGCTCTCAGAAACATCAGGTATACACAGGGGCAATTCCACTGAGTTGACTTCAGAGGGGCTGTGTTGTTGCTAAATTAGTTCCATTGTATTACAATCATGAAATGCACACTACTGTGCTGAATATTTGCCTTGCATGAACGGATGTCCTATTTCTGTTCCCTATCAACTTCTACAGCACTGCTTCCAGCATATTGCTGTTTATGAGAGAGAGAGTATCTGACCATCTGTTTCGGAGAAGCCACGTTGTATGGCTAAGCTGTGCCTTACAGAGCGGGTGCCTCAGACGTAATATATGAACCCAGTCCTGAATTTCTCAACCTTTTAAGATGTTCAGGAGCTTTAGTGTGCAGTAGCTACAACTTCTTAATTAAACATTATGACCCAGTCTTTCAAACTTGAATGCTTCATTTTAGCCATTAATACTGAGATTTTGAGAGTGTTCAGCATTGGCCTAACTCTGCTATTATTGAAGTTAGCAATAAAACTGCTACTGATTAAGACTGGATGTGCATTACTCCTCAACAGCCTTCTCATTGAATTGCAGGAATTAAAATGGAAAACATAATTTTTTACTTAATATAAATGTCTCTGTTATGATAAAATGCTTCCTTCTTAAAAATGTGAAAGTTCAAATGATTGCAGCAGCTTGTAGAATGTTTGATAAATTTGAGTGACAGGAACATTTTAATCCTAGAGCCAACATAATCCATGTGCAAGGCTTTTTGTGCCTTTTTTTTTTTTTAAGAGGAAACAGAGAAAGCTACTGATTTGCAGCTACCATGCTTTACTTTTGTCTCCAAAAAGAGATTACCTATCTAGTATTTTTCACAAAATTTTTGCTCAGTTATGCATTTCCTGAAATAATAAGAACACTGGGATTACTGTTCAAGAGAATTCAAACTTCTGTATCTGTGTGATACATATTAATACAGTGGACTCTGTACTGTAGGCATTAAGATTCAAGAGAAAAACCACTAGTATTCAAAATGCAAATTATCTCCCTCCCTTTGACTGTTAATTAATGATACATGTTCAGCAATAACGGTGCCTTCTCTCTTTCTCTTCATGGCTTAAGAGACAGGAAAATGTGCATTATCTTATTCATGTTTAGATCCCTCTCAGGTCGCATTGTTGGAGGTGTCTGGTGGTTCTTCACGCTCATCATTATTTCATCCTACACTGCTAACCTCGCTGCTTTCTTGACTGTTGAGCGAATGGTCTCACCCATAGAAAGTGCAGAAGACCTTGCCAAACAAACCGAAATTGCTTATGGGACACTGGACTCAGGGTCAACCAAAGAGTTCTTCAGAGTAAGTTGGCATGTCCATTAGAGCAGCTCTCCCTACAGACTGCTCTTCTAAGATGCTTGGAAAGGTGAAATAATGTTAGTTTGCAATTGTATGTAATATAGTTTGTAACTCCTGCAATACTTTAGCTACCTTTTTACCCCCACAATGCCATTTGTTGGAGTTTTCAGTTATTTCAATTTATGGATGGCTTATTGATCCTGTTACATTGGGCAAAAGAGGTGCCCCGAGGGATACTGAAGCCAGTACTAATTAAAGCAGCATTGTACTATTGATTCATCTGAAGCTACATTACTGAAATGATGTGCAGCACTGAAAGCCTATGATGATAACATGGAGTCTTGCAGGTTTTCTTTCTACTTATGGATTTGGCTGTGTGCATTTTGCTTTAGGGTCTTGGGTGGTGGGCAAGAAATGCATTTTTAAATTTGCTGACTTTCAGATGAATAATAAAGAGAAAATATGTCTCAGGGGTATGTGGTTGGAGCATTAGGAAACAGCCTAAATAGCCATTCATACGTCTGTGCTGTCTGTATTGATTACTTCATTTTCATTTGCTTTCCTGTGTTAGTGTGGTTGGTATGTAAGCCTCATTATTTGCCAGCTGGAAAACAGGGAGCCTGGACATCAAAAGGACTACATAATAAACAGTCCCTCCTGCTTTATTTCATGTGTCTAGCCAATGAAAGTTAAGCCTCACTGACTGAACCTGTGTGAGTTTAGTGTTTGAACATAGCTCTGAATAAATGCTGTGAGCCAGTAATCCTTCCTTGGAAATGACACAGCACTACTTATCTGAAAGGTGCAGTTTAAGGCATTTTTAGAAGAAAGGAAGGTGGAGTGATAATTTCTTCTTATTGTCTAATTGAAAGGGGACTGTTCTGTGGTAGATACTCCCAACGCGCCTTGGCTGTTTTCAGTTTGGCCAAATGGAACTCAGTGAATCAGTAACAAAATTATGGATGGGATTTGCAAAGTACAGTGTCAATCCAAGGGCAGCTGCTGAGTGTCCCCCAAAAGGTCTGTAGTGAAATAACCTTTTTATTGCAAGAGATATCCCCATAGAAGAAATTGCAAATAGTTTCTATTAGCTCTAAAAAGATGATGCCTTATAAGATATAAATTGCACTTAACCAACACACAGTGGTTGAGCGTTCACATAATGAAGTCCAAGGAGCTTAGTCTAAGCTGGTTTTCTAGATTTCTTCTGCAGACACTGGAGAAAGAAAAACACCCCTGTGTATCCTGTACGGGACAAGTGTGTTATGTTGAAATAAATCACTCTTTGAAGTATCTTCCTCTTTGCATCAACTCTATAGGAATCCCAATGAAATCGCTAGGGTGCTTGATACCTCATTTTTTAAAGGATACAGTTAGGTGACAGGTTTCTAACCACACCTGTCTTCTATAGCCAGAGTGTTGGTATACAGCTAAATATGACACTAGAGATGCTCTCTGGGAATCTTATTTTTTACCCCAAGTGGTAGAAACTCAGCTTGTGGTCCCTAGAAGCCCTGATTTCACATCAAATGTCTACAAAAATGGTGGCATTAAGTTATAGGAGGCTTGTCTGAGAATTTAAATATTTTGATCCTGAGATGGCCAGATTTCCTATTTTCTTGAATAGAGTATAATCCCTCAGTACTCATTATTTATATTAATCTATGCTTAACATATAGATTCTTCTTTAGCTCAATTTGTGGAAAGTTAGGTATTTGGTTCTGGGAATTCCACTTTCAGTCCATCACAAGCTGAGGTGGTAACCACAATATGTGCATATGAACAGTTCTTTCAACTAGAATGAAACTGTGATGATAGTTAAAAACATGATGCTGAGGACCAGGCAGGTTTATTTAACTTTGGATTTATTTTCAAGAGTATCCGGTGCTTGCAGTTTTTTTAGGTGATGATGCAAAAATTAATTCCCAAGGAAGTAGTAAAGAACAAAGGAATGGAGTTGTTTTCTTAAGAGTTTCAAAACACTTTTACAAGCTATTATGTTGAAGTAATGAGGTCAGGTCTTTTGACATAAAACCAGTCTTGGTCACAAAAAATAAATAATTCTTTTACATCATCCTGTAAACACAGATAGTTTTTTGTTTTAATATTTCATGCAAGATCTCTCCTTAAAGAGAAGACTCTCCATCTATAACGACAGCTATTCTTTCACTTTAAGATTAAGGGGTTAAGAGAAAAAAGAAGGAAAACCAATGTTCTTTTTATATTTTTCTTTCTTCCAAAATACAAAGGGAAACATTAAAAGTAACTACAAATACTAAATATAGTCGCGTATGCAAAATTTGAAGCTTTATCAAGTTTTAGACTGTGTTGATCACTTTTTTAAAAAATGCTGTAATTAAGGCCCTGTAATCAAATTAGTTCTAATCTCTGCAACATATGGTGATTGTCAATGATATTGTATGTGCTATTTCTAAAAATATTTTTCACAAAACAGGGACAAAGATAATTGTCAGACAGACAATATTTCTACAAACACTTTGCATAATACATAAATTAAGACCTAGCCCGAAACAATAGTAGGAGAGAACTTGTTTCCCAAGTCTAACATTTTCTGTGGTAAGAAGCAAACATCATCAGTTTTGGGATTAAAGCCATGTGTAACTTTTTTGTCAGTGATTACTGTCTGGCTGAAGATGAACCTTCAGGATATTTTCTTCTCATTTGATAATTTCTGATCAAGTATCAGAAACTCTGAACAGCTGTTCAGTCTGCTTTGATTCCAGATTGAAAACAGAAAAGGGAGAAGTAATTTTAAAGACAACATAAAGAAAAAGAAGACTTTGATACTATTAGCTAGTTACTTATTTCCTGTTTTGGATGTGATGAGAGTTGCATTTTCCAAGCAGCTTGCTCAAGAGGAAGAGAACTTAGTTTTAGCAGTCCTACTCAGAAAAGCCCTAAATGAAAATTATCCGAGCCTGGCTGACTGCAGGGGAAAGCTGCAGTATTTCCTCATATGATCATAAAGAATATCTTTTGGTTCACTCTTCAGTTTTCACTTGGGGTTGACATGTAGAAATTGAATGTTAACAAATGAAGGCTTGGGAGAATAAAATGTTCTTATAGAGCAGATGCCTTGTTAGACTTGCCATATTTTTTTTTTGTCTCTTGATGGGCAAAGGAAGTTAGATCCTAAAAGAACAGATTTAAATGCAACCTTTTTCAATTTATGTAGGGCATTGTTTCCTCTTACTAATAGAGCTATTTTATGCATTGCGTGCTTTTAGTTTTGAAGGAAAGTGACCTATTAGATGTTTACTTTTTAAAGAATCTGGTGATATGGATGTTAAGGTGCAAAAAATTATTGGAAGCGAAGGCAGACAAAGGCAAGTAAATATTCTTGAAACGATGCCTGATTCATTACTGCTCTCTTCCTTTTTTTTATTTTCTGTAAATGTAAACTCATGAAATTATGTTTTTATTTTTTATTAAGTTTTATTTTTGCTTAAGTCTTTACTTGTAGTTACACCATGGATTCCCAGATAGGAAAACTTCGAATTAGTGCACTCTCAGCCATGAATTCTTGCACATTCTTTGAACAAGCACACTTCTTACTCAATTACTTGCAAGATCAGAGTCTTTAAAATAAATCCATTGACGCTGTGGTTCTAAAAACATACCTAACACTTTTTAAGACAAATGCTTAGGGCATTTTGTTTCCTTTAATAGCATAGTTGGTCTGATTTCCGTCTTTTATTGTGAACATTGTCTTGAAATGTTATGCAGCCTTTCTGAATGCAAATTGAATGAATTCTGGACTCTGAACATTGAAATCAGAAATTTTACTTAAGATTTGACGGTTACTTAGGGGTTTTGATGGTGTAAGGAGTGGATATTAGAACTGAAAAATGCTTCAAGATTCAGCTTGATATTTATGGGGAGTTTATGTTATTGTTTCTCTTTCCCATACAGGTTTATTCATATATCATTTTCTAAAACACACTTTACAACATTTTGACTGTGTGAACTACCTTTATCTATCAGTAAATTCAGGTCTTAGCTTTGTAGTTATTTTATTGTGACTGCTAGAGGCTAACTGGGCCTAAAAATAGTATTTGATTTTATAGTATTGATATTGTTATTTCTTGTCTCTTTTAAAATAATCATGGAATTCAAAGAAAATCCTTACCCAAGTATGATGTTCCCAACCCAATTGTTTGAAATATTAAGTATGATTTATTTTATTTTGAACAGTGCCGTTCTGAAATGTTGCAACATTCTTTTGTTCTAACTTCCTTTTAATTTTCTCCAGAGATCAAAAATAGCAGTGTATGAAAAGATGTGGACCTACATGAAATCAGCAGAGCCATCAGTGTTCACTAGGACTACTGCAGAGGGAGTAGCTCGTGTCCGCAAATCCAAGGGCAAGTTTGCCTTCCTGCTGGAGTCCACCATGAATGAATACATTGAGCAACGAAAGCCATGTGACACCATGAAAGTGGGAGGAAATCTGGATTCGAAAGGCTATGGCGTAGCCACACCGAAGGGTTCTCCATTAAGGTGGGTGGAATAGTATAACAATATAAAATGTGTTGTTATAGTATTCCACCTTCCCTGATGTCCCTGATATAGCTCTTTTTGTTTTGTGTGTGAACATGGTATGTTATTTTTCTTTTCTTCCATTTCATTTTTTTTTGATCAACAAAGGTAACCATTTCTAATTGCAATATGGATTTAGCAGCTACAGTTGGCATATCTTTCAAGGCCATATAAAAACCAAACTGGTTGAACACTAGCTACTTGAAGTCAGCCTCAATAGAATTAACATCATCTATTGTATTTCATCAGCTTTTTTCACCAAATTCAACCCTTTATAGCAGTATTATGCCTACATTATCTGCATCAGTATCTGCATCAATAATATGCCTACATTTTATGATTTGTTTATTGATCTTGGCTGCTAATTTCTGAATAAGAAGCTGCTTGTAACATCTTTTTTCAAATGTCATCACTTAGAGGCAATTAGTCCTTCATTAAAGCAACTTCATTGCAGTACTTTTATTAAAGCACCTTCTTATTTAGAAAAAAAAAAAGTTTGTGTTTCTAGCATTATGCATTTCAGTACTGCCTTCAAACTCACCAGTATTTTTTTTATCATGGTATCAGACACATTCAGTCAAGTAGGAGAGTTTTTGATTCACAGGCAGAACATCATTTGCTTCTCATTCAAATTGTCAGGGAAACAGAAGTGAAGGTGCTAGTTCTGTGTTAAAATTGGCAGTATTTACCATTGTGTTGTATTTAATGTTTAAGGCAAACAAAATTTGCCTTTTTCCTCTGGTAGACTTGCCAATTTTCTTCAAAGAAAAAGAGCAACTAGCGGATTGAGGCAATGTGGCCTGTGGAGTCTCAAAGTGATAGGGTGCGTGTGAGTGGGGGAGAGGGAACTGCAGAGCAACCAGCACCCCACTTCTCAAATTTCACCCCTGCGCTCATGATATGGAGTTACAACAGTGTCCAATAAAACAGATTCACCACGGAGACGAAATGGGTTGAAGGGAGGAGTTGCAGGTGCAGATGGAGCCATAGTTCTGTGCAGGAAATAACTAAGGAGGTACCTGTCTACATCCGTGACTGCAGAGGAGACATCATTACCACTGTGCAGATAACTAGACTCACTCTTAACTTATCAATTTAACCTGCACATAATAACACAAACCTCAATAGCCTTAACTGTATTACACAGATGGGAATAGGAGTATAATCAGAATCATCTTCATCTGCAGATAAAGAAGATTTGTATGTGCAGGGGAAAATCAGTCCAGTTATTTCAGTGATTGAATATGACTTTTTGGTCCTCTCAGTACCTCTCAGATTCAAAACCTGTCACCTTCACCACTGAATAAAGTGGTAAGAGGACATCAGAAGGTGAAAGAGGGAAAATGATGACAATAAAAATACTAACTGTAAAGAAAAACATGTCCAGAACTCAGGGGGTTGTTAAAGGTAGAAGGCAGCAGATAATAGGAGAGGCTGATCTATTACCTTTATTTTAAAAATATATATTTTCAAAGCACTTATTTTTTTTATTTTATATTTCTAATAGATTGCTATCTCCACAGTGTTTCAGACAACCTAGAAGTGGTAGGCAGCACTGCAGTTTAGTGGAGCTGCTTTCCCGTAGTAAGGAAATACCCATTGCTGACAGCCGTGCTTTACTGTGCCAAACCTGGAGCAAACCTTTGAGGAATCACTTTAGCTGCTGTCATATATATGCTAGCAGTGGGCTGTCTGCTCTAAGCGTGCTTAATGGTGTTCTTTAGTCCCTCTTACTCTTCTGCAGAGTATCCAACAACAACAACAAGAGACAGCCTGCTATAATGAGCACCAGTAGCCAGTGGAAGTTGCTTCGTGTCAAATTTGGGCTTATTTCAGGTTTGTTCAGTTGGCTAGATAAAAATATCTAGGAGTAATGGGGCTGAGATATAAAGCAGTTAGACTTAGAAGGAAGAGGGCCTAGTGAGACAGTTTAGTAAGAACAGAGAGGAGGAGCAGAACCTTGATTTTAAGGACCAAGTGTGAAATCCGGGTGCCAGCCCAGCTAAAGACCAAGCTCCTGTATGTTTCAGTGAGGCCACGGTTTGATCCAGCTGGGGGTCAGCAACTATCACTAGGGTGATCTGATCAACAGCATTTAGGTTTTTGCATCCTACCTTCAAACATTTTTCAAAAAGGGGAACACGGGGAATCCTAGCCAACCTGAAAATTGGACCAAATCTTCTTTCAAGCTGTCTCGACTGGCTGTCGATGTCTGTGCCTTTCCCGAGCCTTTCTTTCACATGTGTTAAGCTGCTTGTTCTCCTGCTGCACCCCATTCCCTCTCCAGCCCCAGTGAAAAACCTCAGGCAACACATCAGTGCTGCATACCTATTAAAAACATTAAGCAACACACTTAATGTTCTCTACAAAAAGAACAAGCAACACCTCACATTCGTACCACCCTTCCCATGTATGTCTATAGACAGTACTGCTTACTACTTAGAGGGGGAAACCTTCCTACCCCTGTGCTTTTGAACAGAAAAGACTCAGCTGTAAATTTTAACTGCATGCTTCAGTATTTTCTGAATTGTTTGAAATTGTAGAGTATGCTGGTTTTGCTGTTTTGACTGCATCCCACGTGGTAGTGTTTCTGTTACTGATCAGATGACTTATGTAACTGCTGCCTGCACAGATAATTGCAAATATTGAACATGCAGTTTGAAATCCATGAAGGGCAGACTAGCTAAGCTCATTACATAAATTAGTCAAAAGACAAAATTTGCTATGGGAGTTGTAAATTCTGTATTTTATTTAATAATCATAATTTCATATTTGAGTTATGTGTAGACCACAAATTACTTGGTGTAGTTCACAAATAATTACAAGTAGCATATAGATGTTAAACATTCACACTCTATTCTTGCTCTGCTCAGGACTAGGGAAAAATACCAATTTTTTCAAATGAATTATTCAGAGCAAATTATTCACTAAACTCTTTGAACACCTATTTCACTAGAGATATTTTAATCTTAATCCTCCTCCTAATTACAGTAATTATAGATCAGGAGTTTTTTCACTGAAAATGTAACAGCTGCATAAAGTTGATGTGAGTGTATGGAGAACCAGACCATATATTTTCACACATCTAACACTGACAGAAAGTGGGGTAATCTAAATTGGACTTCTTCCTGTAGCATAGGACTAGTGATGGTTCCCTGCCATCACATCACCAGGCTCATGTTCATTACAGAGCACATACCCACCATTTCACTCATGCAGATGAAATCCACACGTCAGAGCGATCCAGGGACTGGTCTCTCTGTTGCTCATGACCCTACGCATGAGCAGGGTCGTGGATTTTAATTTGAAACTCTTCCGTATTGGGTTCCATGCTACACTCCTGCAGTGTTCAACCAGTACCTATTGGCTAATTGGAATGATTCGTTCTCAGTGCTGGCGCAGTATTAGGATTCGTGCATATCACTGGATGGAAGAGAATGGGAAATGCCTGATGTGTGTTTCTTTTATGCCCACTGGGCAGTCCCACATTACACATCATGTATGTCTCCTTCCTTCCTTCCTTTTCAGTGATATTCATTTCTATAAAATGTTGTAAAGGACTGACATATTTGAGAAGGAATGTGAGATTGAGGGCAAAGGCTCTCATCACAACAAAGATTGAGTTTCTCTCATGGCACTACCCAGCTGTCTTTACGGTTCCTCCTCCTACCACGGTAGGTATCATTCCAAAACTACTGTGTAGTAATCAGTGTCAATTAATGAGCTTTTTTTCTTCGAAGGTGGTGCTTTCAAAGGTGGTTAAGAGAGTGCTGCTTGTCTGCTTAGCAAGACCTGCCTCTGTAAATGTGTTGTCATTAGAAGACATTCCTGTGGCCAGACTTCTGGCTGCTGTGGATCACCCCTGGTTTGCCTGCCTTGCCACTTGCGGTAGTCTGTGTTTCTAGAGGGCAACACCTGGAGATCTTGTACTATTCAAATCCTATGCCTTGCATGCCTCTGCTTTCCTGTTTTAGATATGTAGGCATCATAAACAAGTTTGAGTAGTGATGAACATCAGAGAGTTCTCCACTCTTAAGAGGTAATGAAAAAGGAAGTAGGGGCAACATTGTTGTACAGGTGCACTAAAAGCTTTTCCTGCTTTTTGTACCTTGAAGCTGTTTGATGCAAAGGTTAATGATAGGTTGAGCTAAAAAATGAGGAGTTGTCATCGTTGTCGTTTCTGTGAGTGTTTTAAGTAAGGGCATTTGGCTGTCCTGTCCTGCCGCTGACAGTATACAGCACGGATGAGTGAAACCTGCTCAGTTCATGAGTGTCTGGTGAGGCACTTTGAATCCAACCAGATGAGAGTGGCAGCATTAGATCTAGCCAAGTAGTAAAATACTGTTGTGAATAGATGTGTTGATGTATTTCAGAGACTGATGGTGGCTGTTCACCAACCTGATGAAATCCAGAGCTCTATTAAGTTCCCACTATTGCAATTATGGCTAATGTTTATAGATATGAATCTGAGATTCTGTATTTCATTATTCTTTTCTTTTTATGTAGTAAAGAAGTAACTGCAGTTTGGCTTTAGGAGGAAATGTTTATGGTCAGGGAAGGAAGGAGAAAGGGTTCACACGGTGATACCTGCTCGTTCTTTTCAGTGTGGCAGCTGGTGACATGAACTGACTCTTTACACCAGTTAAGGGCCAGTTCTTTATCCATTCTTTATTGTATTTGCATTAACCTGAGGTGGGAAACGTGGGAAGTACACTGGTGAAGCAGGTGATGTGGATGTAATTTTCTGATCATTCTAGCAAGTTGTGTGAAGTGCAAAGTACAGTGAAGCTATGGATTTTAGTTTTCCATCCCTTGTAAGGCAGGAGTGCTCTGGAGAGTGCTTGAAGTGCAAAAGGCATCCCAGTGGTGCCCTGTCAACATCTTATGGATTCTCCTGTTTTACATAATTGTGCACTATCTGAAAGAGATTTACACTAGAAGTGAGGGATCTGTGGTGGAGG